GTGAGCGAGACGAGCCAGGACGGAATCCATTAGGGTATCAGCGTTCGGAGCCGGTGGTGTTTCTTCTGGCTGTATGTCAGAAGGAGCCTCTTCGTTCATAGTTACGTCACACTACTTCGTTTTGCTCCACGGTGGGCGCCAACTATTTGAACCGAGTTCGGTCGTGAATAAGTGAGGTGAGTGACTGGACTCGTCGGTGGGTTATTACGAAGGTACGAGTAGTTCTGAGCAAAGAAAGGAGTTTTATTTATAATCGGGAAGTGAATACAAAGAGAGTCTCCGGTGCTCAGAGAGCTTGACCAGAGATAACGTACGGACTAGTCGGTCACAACAAAGTAAATAAGGTAAGGAAACCCTAATCTGAGTGACCGCCTTGTGAGTCTATTTTTCGGATCCCCTCTTTGTGATACCCTCCTCGCCTTTTATAGCTTTGGTGTCGGTTAATGGACCTTCGTGTTGGGCCTTTTCTCGACTCGGCAGGATGAGTTCCTCACTCGTACGGACGCCATTCGGGTATTAACCGATTTCGTATCAATACTGATGATTTGTCCCTTATTGGGCCGAGTATGATTCCCTATGGGTCCTGAGGGATGGGTACAGCCCACCTTCTACAGACGCCTTTTTCAATGTTTTCAACTAGATTTTATAATCACCAAAGTTAAGCTTCATGCAAGGTGGAGTGATAATCTGTTTAAACTATTATGAAGTTATCATATTTAGCATTCAAAATATATCAAATCATTCATGAAAAACAGAATAGTGTTTTTTACTAAGCCTCTCTTTAACTCACCAAAAGAGATAAGCAAGCATTGTTTTGATTGCTAACGTGAAATGGCCAGAAAATCTGCTAACGCAATCCGCATAATTTACATAATTACCCATATGAATACAGTAATCATATAAAACGATTCATTCATCAAATATTCACATTTCATCTATCCTATAATATTATAAATTGAACCGAGACTTTAGAATTCCTCTATTTTTCTAGGGTTACTAAAGTTAAACAATATCATCTAGTCTAGTCTTATTTATATTTATTTTTTCGGACCGAATCTAATGTAGTTTGATGACACCCTGATCGCGTAAATAAATCTTAAAAGAACTTATACTAACGACTAGGCTACCGTATAGGCACTAAAAAGCCTACTAACGTGTCTTCTTTAGACTTTTTACTGATCTCATACTTAAAAGTCAATTCCCATGGCCTTTTCAGACATATTAGCTTGATTAATATATATACTGATAATTTGCCTTATGTTGCACTGCTTTAGATCAAAATTTATTTTAGTTCCTTTATCAAAAACATACAAGATGTCATTTTAGCCCTTATATACTAATAGAAATACATTTCTAAGTATACCATTATTTTGTAAGAATTTATAATGTCTAAGCATAAAATCTGATAGATCGTCATAAGAGGTAGTTAAAAAATGAGTTCAATGAACCATAGGTCTATAATTTAACCATTTCGTGTGTACGAACTATATAGCCAATTTTAAACAATCAATCAATATTAATCTTGAACGATACTTTTATAAATAGAGTTATATATCTTTTCAAAAATAAAATACATAGGATATATTATATATTTTTCTTACAAAAGTAACAATGAAATATATACACCGTACAGCATAACAGTTAGTAAAAACAATAATATAAAATACTTTAAATCTTTAATGTTTATACTAGTTCAAATCTGAGAGAATAATATCGCTAATTTTTTATAAAAATCTTAGGACTGAGCAAACAAAATCTTTTAACAATATTCTTACGTACATTTTATAAATATTGTTGTAATGTATAATAAACGCAAATTGAAGGTACTACATGGTATGGTATAGGGTACGCTACTACGTACAAGGTTCAACTAGGTGATGTTATTTGATTAATTACGTTTTCGCTTGAAGTGGCCAATTTAAAAACACAGATTAGGTGTATGTATTTGTCTGGCTTGGAGATCTTTGCTCCACTCGTATCTCCATCCAATGAAGTCTCTCTTTTTTTATTGTGACATCCGAAATGACGAAATTTCTGCAAATATATAAAATCCAATAACCCATTGAAATAACAAAGGGGCATGCCAAGAAGATTAGAACTGTGATGTGATTTGTATAAAAAATGGTATTATTTAGGAAAAAACACATGAAGTACAAAGTTACCCAATGTACGATCTATCAGTATTAATTTAACAACACTATAAAGCTTATATACTTAAATTAGGACACACTGGAAGATGATAATTAGTTAAAACTAGTAACTTACATAAGTTTTTGGGATAAAACTAAGCAAAAGAAGTTAGACCATATTTTAGACTAAATATATATGATTTAAATATTGTGGATTGCTTTTTTATATACATTAATTTATCACATATATTTTTCTGTCAGATAAGTGACGATTTCTTTTTTCTTTTTTCTTTTTCTTGTAACAATTGTAGTTTTAATGAAAAAAACTTGATATAAATCTAAATTTCATATTAGTATTAGTAAATAATAAATAAATAGATCAAAATTCATTAAATAGTAATGTAGAAAATAAATAAAATACGAGTTGTCAGTGTCTTTGTGTTTAGAGGAACGTTCTTAATTCCTAAAACCATTAACAAATTCATGACATAAAAAGGAGAAGCAGTTGATGGGTTAACCGACTGCATATTTAATGTGTTCTGGACTAGAGGTCTATTGAAAGTTATGAAAATTGGACCGGCCATTGTATATGATGTGGGCTAGAATTTCTTTGTGGAGATCAGTTGTATATGTTCATGGATGATATATAATGTTAAATGTAAAATTATGATACTTATTTTTGGTAATTAAATTATGATACTTTGTTAATGGCATATAATGAAAACTGATGTAATACACAAAAATACAAATACTCTTTATTGTATATTAAATCTAAACTATTAAAGGTGAAGTACAAAAAAGAAATAACCCTTAGTTTTCCTCAAAAATTACAATAGAATACCACTCCTTTATTTACTATTAACAATAAATAATTTTAATAAATAAAATTACAAAATACATAATAAATAATGTTTCCATAAAAAATCGTATGTGATACATCAGATTACCTAATATTTAGCTAACATAAAAGATTAGAATCTTTCATTTCTTAAACAAATATAAAATATAAAAGCAAAAATCTGTGACAAAGTTATGTTGTAGGATATGTTTACCAAGATATAGATTTTTTATTTTTTTAAATACCTCATAAATGAGTAATTTGAAACCATTAAAATTCAGATTTTTTTTGTTAACATATAGAAATAACTTATTTTCAAGCTGGTCACAAGATTTAATTTGTTAAAAAATTGTAACAAAAAATAATTTAATATATTAATAATACATTTCATTCATACAATAAAACATGAAATTTTTGAACTATAATTTTAACCAGACACAATATACTTATTAATCGATACAATCTTTTTTAATAATTACATTACTGATCCTAGACACATCTAATTAGAAAAATACAGAAGTACATCCAGTAATGTAATACATGGGCTCAACAATAAAATAAAATAGTGCAAATGTAATTAGGGGTGTTTAGTCCGGTAAAACTGAACCAAAATAAAGAAAATGGTATATGCATATGGTTTAGTATGTAAACCAATCTAACCGAAGAAACCAATTAGTTAAAAAAATTAGTATACGCATATGTAAATTTAATAATAATATTAATAATATATATACATAATCTATTTTATTAATATAATATTCATAATCAAAACATTGATTATAGTATTTTTATGTGTTTTGAAGTTAAAATGGTAATTTTGTTTTTCTCATTTTCGTCAAATTAAATAAAACATATTTTTTATTTTTATTGATAACTCCTTGTGCTAAAATATAATTATATAATAATATTATGATATTATTATTTTCTTACTATTTTAATATTTAAATAAAACAGAAAATGTTATATTAAATACTTAAACTAAGGAATATATATATATGTTTTAATAAATTTGGTTTCTATTTATATAATCTAAAATTTGTTAGAAAAATAAATATAGTTATGGTTTTTTTGTATAAAACCGAATAAATCAAAAATAGATTATATAAACCAAACCAAATCATATTAGGTATTGTTCCGATATGGTAACTAATTTTTAAAAACACAAATACCAAAAAAACCAAAAACATCAAACCGACACCGTACCAAAGTCCAGACTGAACATGTTCTCCAAATTTTGTGTGTTTAGAATTTTCATATTGATGTTGTAAAAAAAATACCCGCGCAGGCGCGCGGGTCAAAATCTAGTTCGTATTATTTGTGGAAGACATTAATAATCATAAGACAATCAAAAGATTATTTACATCAATTTTTTTTGAGATTTCAATGAGGTAAAGAGTCAAAAAAGTGTAAGTGGAACACAAAAATCTCATAGGTGCAAAAAGAGAACTCCATTAAATATGTAAACTCCTATTTAAGCATTTAAACATGTATATATATATACACAAATATGAGAGATAGTCACATCACAAGTCACAACTAACAATTTATATCTCTCTCCCTTCTATAAGTTTCTAATGGTGATTTAAGAGACCCGTAGTTCTCTCATTCTCTGATCATCATCATCCGGTTTCTACTCTCAGCAAAACACAAATCAACGATAATCTCTCACTCTCTTTACTCATTCTTCTTATTTAGATAAGATCTCTCATTGTCCCTATCTATCCCTCGTTTTCAGCAGATTTAATCCAAACCCTAACCTCTTTGATTCCGATAGCATAATATTAATTATTCCCTTCAAGAAACCAATTATAAATATTCTCTTTTTTATTCTTACTCCACGCCATAAATGTGAACTGGTTCAATCAGTCCTTTGTCACCACCACCACCACCACCACCACATCTATACTACAAACCCTTCTCGTATTCTCATCAGTATACGTAGTTCAAATACATTACAAATACACACCAAGTCTCTCCTATATATATGCATTAGAAAACAAGAGAATAAAAGAGACAAACAATGGATTGGAGGAGAGAGATGGAAGGTAAACTAGCACATGACTACATGTCCTCCACAAAGAGCCACCTGACGTCACCGCGCCGCATCTGCGTCTTCACCGGACCGGTGATCGTAGGCGCCGGACCGTCGGGACTAGCGACGGCGGCTTGTCTCAAAAAGAAAGGAATATCTTCAGTAATACTCGAGAGATCAAACTGCATAGCGTCACTATGGCAGCTCAAAACATACGACCGTCTCCGTCTCCACCTTCCAAAGCAATTCTGTGAGCTTCCGCTTATGCCCTTTCCCGCAGGCTTCCCAACTTATCCGACAAAACAGCAGTTCATCGAGTACTTAGAGGACTATGCCCGTAGGTTCGATATACGACCGGAGTTTGGTCAGACGGTTGAGTCTGCGGAGTTTGATGAAATCCTCGGGATGTGGCGTGTGAGGAGCGTGGGTGAAGACGGTACGACGGAGTATGTTTGCCGGTGGTTGGTGGCTGCGACGGGAGAGAATGCAGAGCCGGTGGTGCCTAGGTTTGAAGGGATGGAGAAGTTTGCGGCCACGGGGGTGGTTAAACACACGAGTCATTATAAGACCGGTGGAGACTTTGCCGGGAAAAAAGTTTTGGTCGTCGGATGTGGAAACTCCGGCATGGAGGTTTGTTTGGATCTATGCAACTTTGGTGCTAAGCCTTCTCTCGTTGTCAGAGACGCTGTGAGTCTCTTTTTTTCTTTTTCGTGTTTTAAGAAAAATTAGTTTGGAATTTAAATAACTTTTTTAATGAGTTCTCGACATATATTTTCTTACTCTTTCATGTTTCGTAGTTTTCTTCCATGCTAAAAACAAAATCACATAATAATTTTTATTTTAGTTAAAGTTGATCTCTAGTATTCCCAACTTAAGATTTAACCTACTTTTTTAAACTGATTTAACCTACTTTGTTAGATTTTTTTTACAACTTTTAAGATTCTGTGTTTTCTGATTTTTTGGGATATCAATATAATAGGTCCATCTTGATAATATCTCTTTTAGAGAGAAAAAAATTTTCAGTCAAATATTTGAAATAATGCAAAATTTTTTTATAAAATATTTAATTATTCAATCTTAAAAATTAGAAATTTAAAGATTTTTTAAAAAGTTCCTTTAATCTTTTATTAGTAGAATCCTCTTAAAGAAATCTTCTTTTATTCAGAAAAAGAAATTCAGTTTCATTGTATACTATTTCCATAAAGAGCCCAATTAATTATATAATTATTATAGTGTAATCATTAGTGTCTCTTAAATGTAATATATAACTAGAGATTTCACAAGAATAATTTGTGCACAGTTTTTTATTATTTTGTATGCTTTTACTGATTTTCTATAAAATAATCTATATTCTTTTGCTTTTCAGTTTGATAATATTCACACTTTGATTTTTATAATATGTTTTTCATTACTGAAAAAAATAAAGGCTGGTATTCATCCTAATTTAATATTTTATTCAGGCTTTTTAGGCCCCTTGTGACTTCAAGTTCCAATAATTTGTTGATTATGTTTTTTTTTTTACAAATAAAGATGTTCACCTATTTTCTATAATACATAAATACTATTTTTATAATATTTGTAGAGAATGAGAACTATCAGAACACAAACTTTATTGGGATTATCACAAGCACGCGCAAACATTCTCGCAAAAATCATAGTCTCTCAACACTTTTACATATAAAAACATAGATAGAATATTATTTTCTCTTCCCTAGGTTTTTAAATCCATAATTTGCTAATTGTTTTTTTTTAACTGGTGAAGGTGCACGTCCTACCACGAGATATGTTGGGTACTTCGACTTTTGGGCTGTCCATGTTGCTACTCAAATGGTTGCCCATCCGGCTCGTTGACCGTTTCCTCTTGGTTGTTTCCCGGTTCATCCTCGGGGATACAACCCTGTTAGGTCTTAACCGACCCCGTTTAGGCCCATTGGAACTCAAAAATCTCACCGGCAAAACCCCGGTTCTGGACGTGGGGACGCTTGCGAAGATCAAAACAGGAGATATCAAGGTACTGTATATCTCAATCAAATATGTATTTTCGCTAATAACCGGTTTACTGAGTGTAATATTTGATTTGTTAATATTAAAAGGTGTGTTCCGGGATAAAAAGGTTAAAACGGCACCAAGTTGAGTTCGATAACGGGAAAACGGAGAGATTTGACGCCATCATATTGGCAACTGGCTACAAAAGCAACGTACCCTCTTGGCTAAAGGTAGTCAATGATGATAATATACTTATTTTTACATATGTCCACTTTCTTTAAAACTATCATTAAAATCTTAATTAAAATTATCTTTTCATAGGAATATACAATTAAATGGGGTTTACTAAAAAAAACTTTTTCAGGAGAATAAAATGTTTAGTAAAAAAGATGGATTCCCAATGCAAGAGTTTCCGGAGGGATGGAGAGGGGAATGTGGGCTATATGCGGTGGGGTTCACAAAGCGTGGGATCTCCGGAGCATCAATGGATGCAAAGAGAATAGCTCAAGATATATACGAGTGTTCAAGAAAATATAATCAAGCCCATAGACATATACAAGTCTTCATGTCAAGAAAACCTGATCAAGCCTATAGTAGATTACTATAGACGGTTGAGAGATGAAAGGTTTCTATCAGAATCAACATAACTTGAAGACGGGTAGCAATCAAAAAAGACAATTGATGGTTTGGATTTCAAGGGGAGGATTGGGGAGTGATGTTAATTAAGGCTTATCTCCAGCTGCAATGCAAATTGGGGAAAAGAAACAATGAAAATGAAATTTAGTGAGAGTGATCGTGGTGGACATTGATGATCATCTGTCCCGAGAAGAGGAGGGGACCCTCCCTCTCTTTGCATGCTTATAACCCACTTTGTAAATCTTTCTATACTTTCTTTCTATGTTTGCTTTTCTTTAGTTTCCTTAGTTAGGTATGCTCTTTGTTTTTCTTAGCTTTTTGGTTCAATTTATTTTGGCAGAGTATTGTGGTATTTTGTTTTCCTTATATACATAGTTATTTAGCGAAAACACTTACCTTTTGTAACTAACATAAGAGTAAGTAAATTGTTATAAATAAATAGCTTAGAAAAATAACCAATGAATGTGTCAATGAAATTTCGTTGTCGAAATGATTTCATTCCCTAGTAGAAGTATCATAGATATGGACCACTGTGTTGTACATTCGTCAGAAATTAAGACCTTGCACATCTATAATTCTGCTGACCACTTTTTCCAATTATTGCTAGATGTACGGTCTCCACATGATTTTTGTCATATTTTTAAAACTAAACTAGGTATAGCTATATAAATCATCTTAGATCTCATGTCAGATAGATGTTCCGTTTAGAGTTTATCATGGATTTGTTATCTTGGCGGTACTAGTAGGATTTAGCGGAAAACATATTTTTTTACAAAATCAGCACAACTGTTGTGAAACCGTTTATTCTTCGACCAGTTATGATTTGGAACGAGCAACGCCAAACAGATAATCAAAACAATTTCATCTTCGAGAATATAGTTGCCCAAGTGATGAATGTCCATAACCCAACGTTCAATTACCATGTATCTAAAGCCAATTAGTATACATTGTTTTCAATCAAGTCTTTTAAAATAAACTAAATGTCAGTTGGGGATAAATTATTATGGTATAGACCCAATTATTTATTCTGAAAACCCTACGAAGACTGGGTGATACAAAAGTGGAGAAAAACAACTTATAACTCGGATTAGTCCTAGAGTCAAATCCTTATTTTAATAGACTCGGCATAGTGATTCGGTATACCAATATCAGTTTTTACTTTGTTATTTTTTAATTGTGCATATATAGTATTTCTATTGCATTTACACGGATATCGTTACTAAATATGTATTGGTGCAAAATATTTTTTAATTACGTAACCACAAGATTATAAGCTTTTAGCCACAAAAGAGTGAGACGTATAATGAAACTCGGTCTTAACCAAAACATATGTAGACCATACCTTCTCTAATAACCAGTAAGTTTATATTTGTTCCTAGTCTTTGGACCATCAGCCAAGTGGCTGACCTTGAAAGCCATGTGATTAGAGAATGTAAACTGACCAAAAACCATGTGGGTTCATTGTTTAGCTTGTCATCTATGAATCTTTACTAGCTGCAGGAAACATGTTCGAATCCAAACAAATTGTGTTGATCATTCAAATATATATATATATATATATATATATATATATATATATATATATATATATATATATATATATATCCACTGAAATTCTAAAGCTCTAATCCATCAGAAAATATATATTAATGCGTGAAGTAAAAAATTAAATTCTGGCAAAACATAAGGGAAAGGGAAAAAAGGAACAAGGATCTTACAGAAATTTTACTTTTTTAAAAGGCACATAAGTAACAAGCTGGAGGCCTACACTTTTGCCAAGCTGTTGGGGAAATTTTAGGAAACAATATCAGATTCAGATCCCAAATCAAATCTTTCTATTTTATTTTTGTCAACATCAAATCATTACTATTAAACATCACTTTTTGTTTTAATTAATTTTTGTGTGTGAAATAATTAGTAGTGGCTGACCCCAAGTAGGCAAACAGATTTGATATATCCTTACAGTTCCGAGTCCCACATTATGAACATAAGAAGCACTTACTACTTTGAAATCATGTTTCTGCTTTTTTCTTTAGTTTTACCTTTTTTAGTTTGTGATTTTTCTTGGCTCTGAATTATATAGTTGGCTTGTCAACTAAATTGTGTTGGAAAGTGAAGTGGTGCTCTTCGACAGTAAACGGTATAGATGATTGTGTCCATACATGTCATAGACATGACTTGGAAACATCAGACTATGTTTGACGAGATTTTTCGTGCACTATGCAAATGAAGTACTATGTTGTAAAATATCTATCTGCGACCGCCAACAGAGAGAAAGCATATGTGCTCTCAGGAAAATATTTGTTATTCTAAAATTCATATTGATTATCATAATGATGAATACTGCCAATTAAAAGTGTACATGTAGTAATTTTAGTGGGATTGTTCGAATATATTAGGTTTAAAATAATACTACCATTTTTTTTTTTGACAATAAACGACAGATCTATTACTCAAGTTTGAGGTGGTCTGGGAATCCAGACCGGAATAGAACAACCTACATACACCAAATCTCAATAAAAGGATCGAGCAGTATTAGCTAGTGAATCGGAAAAACCATTATGTGTCCTAGGCACATAGACAATTTTAAACTCGGGAAAACAAATCTGCAAGGTAGTGAGCTTTTTCAGTTCTGAGAAGTTTGGCCAATCCTGTGGGTTCCTTAGCATTGATATCATTTCCTTACAATCCGTCCCAAACCTCTGACATGACGAATGTTGAAGCATGTTCTCCATTGCCCACCACAATGCATCCAGCTCAGAATGCAAAGCAGACTCCACTCTATCAAAGTTACGCAATCCCATCAGCTGACCATTCCCCATACTATCCTGCCATACCCATCCACATCCGCTGTACTGAGCCGTAGAGGTCCAGGAACCATTCACCAGACAGATGCTCCCCGGACTTATGATCTGGTTGTCGCCATTCGTGTCGATTTGAGAGGGCAAGGACGGCTGCTCATTAGCTTGATACCAGGCAAGGCATTCACTCTCTGCATATCGTGCTGTCTCCAATGGGTCTCTATCAATCCCTTTAAACAATTTTTCATTCTGAGCCTTCTAGATATACCAAATTAGCCATGGATAAGGATCCATGTCTACTGCCGGTCCACCTATGGCATTCTTCCTCCAAAAAGATAGTCCATGTTCGCATATGTGCTATGTAATGGGAATAAAGAAGGGCTGGTAGGTAGTGACGATAATGCCCAGACTTGCTTTGCAGGAGGACAAAGGAAAATGGCGTGTGTGATCGATTCATCCGGTTCTCCACAACGTGGACAATAATTATCACACCGCATATGTCTACAATTTAAGATGCTCGTAACAGCCACTTGACTTGTTACTATCTGCCACATAAGATGTCACATCTTTTGTGGAGCCCGCACCTTCCAAACTTGCGCTTGTAATTTAGTAATACTAGGTTCACTAAACTACATGCATTTCTTCTCGTTTTAAAATATTTGTGCCACCCAATATCCAGACTTGACTGTATATTGTCTATTCCTTGTATAACTCCAGCAGAATGTATCTCTCTGATGTGTCGAACTAATGGACATACTCTTTATGAGACGTATATCAACAGCATTGACGTATTGTTCTAGTCTTGTCGTGTCCCAGGTCTTCGTCCCTTGATTAATAAGATCACTTACTCTCATGTTTGGGTGCAAAACCGGTACAGATGAGATCGCCGGTCTCGCAGGTATAGTAGGAATCCAAGGTTCCTCCCATACTTTCACCTCATACCCCGAATGGATCTTCTGTCTTATACCCAATAACAATAAATCTCGTGACGCCGAAATACTTGTCCACACATATGATGGGTTACTAGTAGAAAGCTTACGCAATGGCGAGCTTGATCGATAGACCGACCCCTCATTACACGAGCAACCAACGAATCCGGATATTGACTCAGTCTCCATAATTGTTTTGCTAACAATGCCAAGTTAAATTCATGAATCAACCTGAAGCTGATCCCACATTCCTCCTTTGGTAAACATACTTTGTCCCAAGTGGACCAATGGATACCCCTTTTTGGGGGATTAGAACTCCATCAAAACTGTGCAATGGCACTAGCTAAGGCATCACATATTTCCAAGGGCAAGAGAAAACAGGACATGACATAAGTTGGCAGTGCTAATAGGATCGACTTGATCATAACCTCTTTTCCACCTTTCGATAGCCACCTTCTTGTCCACCCATTAATCATGTTCCTTTGCTTAACCTTGAGAAACGCAAAGAGCTTATATTTAGACCCACTGATATCCTCCGGAATTCCTAGATAGGTTCCCATCCCTCCTTCACTCTGAATTCCAAGTGTATCTTTAATTTATTTCCTAGCCTCATGTCCAATCCTCTTACCAAAGAGTAGAGAAGATTTGTCAAAGTTAATACATTGACCAGAGGCTTGTCCATATTTCTTGACCACTTTCATTACTTCTTCACATTCACGGGTCTCCGCCTTACAAAAGAACAGACTATCATCAGTAAAGAGAAGGTGAGATACCGAAGGACACGCACGCGTGATGCGCATTCCCGTTATCTTCCCTTGGTTCTCTGCGTGATTTAGAAGGCTAACGAGCGCTTCCGTGCACAGAATAAAAATGAAAGGGGATAGAGGATCCCCCTGTCGTAGACCTCTTGCTGGAACAATGTTCCCTCTAGGCTGACCATTCATCAGTACCTTGTACCTGACAGATGTTATACAGCGCATGATCCATGTTATCCATATTTCTGAAAAGCCCATCTTCCTCATGGTAGCCTCAATGAAGGACCACTCCATCCTATCATACGCCTTGCTCATGTCCTTTTTAATGGCCATCCTCTTATTACGTCCACTGGGTTTGGTCCTTAGGGCATGAAACATCTCTTGGGCAATCATAATGTTATCAGGTATCTGCCTTCCCGCAACAAAGGCAGACTGAGTTTCTGATATTCTATCTGGAAGAACTTTTTTAATCTCTGGCATAAGACCTTAGAGATTATCTTATAGCTAATATTGCATAAGCTGATAAGGCGTAGCTGGCTCATCTGATCTGGCTCATCAACTTTCGGGATAAGACATATATTTGTTTCATTTAAACCATTAGGTATCGTGCCTTCAAACATGATTTTATTAACCATAAGAGTTAAGTCCTCTTTGACAATATCCCAAATTTTTTGGTAGAAGAGAGCTGTCATTCCATCTGGTCCTGGGGCTTTCTCTGGGTGCATGGCAAAAAGCGCTAACTTGATCTCCCATTCACTGACCAGCGCTGTGAGATTTTCATTGTCCATTAGTGTAATAGTAGTAGAGACTTCAGATAGTGCTTCCTCTATGTCCTCAGGCTTCGATGATTGGAAAATATGTCTAAAGTAATTTGTAGCAATGGCTACTAATCCTTCCTCATCCTG